GTCAAAATATATAAAAATAACATAATTGAAGAATCCTCATTTCAAGAAATTCATCAAAATGTTATTGACTTGCAATATTATTCTAAGTGCACCTAATTTGATTATCGAACATGCCCCAACTTTCGGTAATATTAGTATTTTGTTAGTGCAATTAATAAAAAAAATACACTGGTTTCATATTGCAACAGATACCTCATTTACTATTTTAGCTACTGTTCGATCCCCCATTCTATAGTTGTTGGCTATGTTTCTGTAGCTATCTCCAGAAGCGAAATACATACAAAAAAAACCTAATGTAACCACTTTGCAAACTGGCCACATTATTTTATATGACAACGTTTATGCGTTTTTAAGTGAAAAATTTGCAATATTGAATGTCTTTCATTTCCCCTCGCGTAAATTGGCACTCACACAAACACACCTACACTAGTGTACACTGATGTTACTGCCTTCAGGCCTTATCAGTACGGTAAGGATTCAGGAAGCGATGAGACCGATCCCAAAACACAAAAAAACAGGAAGCAAACGATGCAGCGAGACACCGTGTGCAACCCAGTAGATAAAAAAAATGATGAAGAAACGAAAATCAATTATGGAAAATAAAAGCAGCAAAGGGAAGCCTGAAACCCCAATTTGCAGCCCAGCTTTTAACACACCCCACCGCACTAATAACGTAACTAATATATATTAATTTGATTTTCGCTTTATTGGAGTATTTCACAGGTAAATATTGTCACAATAAAGTATTGTTTTACTAACTAGTAATTTACATTTTTTGTAGATTAATTATGTCGCACAATAGTTATCAGAAAGAACAAAAATTATTAGAAAAATACATGGAAGAAGTGCAGCGCGGGATGGAACAAGACGCGTTTGAGCCCGATGAGGATTTTATAGAGTTTTCCGGAAGCGAAGACGAGGAGGAAGATCATCTTGAAAATATGACCAGGACACGGATAGTGAGCAGAGTGCCGAAGAAAATGAACTGGAAGAAAGTGCAGGTAATTATTTGATTGGAAGGGATAAAAAAACAAGATGGTTGAAAGAGAAACCAAAATTAAATGTTCGTACAAGATCTCATAGGCCCATATCTCTCATAGGCCTCTTCCCCGGCTCATAGGCCCTCCTAGATCTCATAGGCCTCTTCCTGGCCCAAAATGTCCTGCGAAGAATGCCATGTCAATTTTGCAATGTTGATCGTGTTTTTTTACTCCCGATCTAATCGCAATAATAGTAGAGTGCACCAATATTTGTATTCAAAAGAAAAAGGGAACATACAAAGAATATTCAAGAACCAAAGACACTAACGCATCCGAGGTGAAAGCTGTGATAGGACTTCTGTATTTGGCTGATATTTACAAAGCAAATCGTCTGAATCTTGACGACTATGGCAGACTGATGGAACTGGTGTCGAGGTATTCCGTGCCGCGATGAGCCTGCAAAGATTCCGATTTTTACTGACTTGTTTACGCTTTGATGATCTAAATAGTCTTGACGAAAGAAAGTACCTCGATAAGTTTGCTCCTATAAGATCTGTTTTTGAACAGTTCACGACATTATGCAGCAAAAATTATACTAACTCAGAATACGTAACAATTGATGAGATGTTACCAGCTTTCAGAGGAAGATGTCCTTTTAGGCAGTATGTGCCCAATAAAGCTTCAAAATATGGATTGAAAATTTTTACTATGGCAAAACGTTTTATGTATCAAATATGGAGGTATATTTAGGCAAGCAGCCGGCTGGTCCATTTGCATTAAGTTATTCCCCAGATTTGGTTGTCAAAAGATTGATTACTCCGATCACTGGCAGTGTCCGAAATATCACAATGGACAACTGGTTTGCCAGTTTGCCACTAGCTTTGGATTTGGTACAGAATCATAACCTCACTGTATTGGGAACGGTTCGTAAAAATAAAAAAGAATTTGCTCCAATATTTATAGAAACCAAGCAACGTAACGAGTGTTCATCCGTTTTTGGCTTTCAAGAAAAAATTACAGTTTTATCCTATGTCCCTAAAAAAGGAAAAAATGTTATTTTGCTAAGCACGATGCACCACGATGATGCAATAGGGGAGATGCTCAACTGGGGAGAAATATAAGCCCGTAATCATTACAGACTACAACACATCAAAAAGCGGAGTTGACACTGTCGATAAGTTATGTGCTTCATATAACACCTCACGAAATATCAGACGATGGCCCCTAACCATATTTTTCACTTTGCTAAATATAGTGGGAATAAATTCAAGAGTTATTTATACCTGGAATAATTCTAAAAACATCAAACGGCGTTTTTTCCTCAAACAACTTTCTCTCAAGTCAATTTAACTTTTTTTTAAGATACTTGTGGGTTAGAAATGTAACAAAATAAAAATAGTCAAAGTATGACACAAAATTGATAATTTTTATTAACTAAATTAATACACAGTTATGATAAACAACTTTGTAGACAAAGCCTCAGTCTATAACATATTAAAAGCGCAAACACCAATCTCGTCATGTTTTTCTCTTATGGAATTTCAAAATTGATTAATGCATAACTGAAGCGGCTGAAATCCCTATTTAATATCGTTCTACTGATTGTGATGTTTTCTGAACGTCGCGCGTCGATTGCCTTGAAAATTCGTTCTTATACTAATTTATGGTCGTAGAAAACGAACTCGTAGTCAGTTTTTAGCTATGGTGAGTGGTTGGTCATTTTCTTGCGGTAATGCGAGACCGCTCGGTGACGCGATGCAGACCTTCACGGAAGAGTCCGTATTTTCATCCCGGAAAATTATATCACTATAAATTTTAAACAACTTTGTGGACAAAGCTTCAGTCTATAACATATTAAAAGCGCAAACACCAATCTCGGCATGTTTTTCTCTTATGGAATTTCAAAATTGATTAATGTATAACTGAAGCGGCTGAAATCCCTATTTAATATCGTTCTACTGATTGTGATGTTTTCGGAACGTCGATTTCCTTGAAAATTCGTTCATATACTAATTTATGGTTGCAGAAAACGAATTCGTGGTCAGTTTTTGGCTATGGTGAGTGGGTGGTCATTTTGTTGCGGTAATGAAAAAAAAATGAATGGAAAAAAAATGAAATGCGGCCAAATCAAACCGCTCGGTGTAAAATATAAAAATATGGGAATCACCGACAAAAATCTGACATCTGATATCAAAGTGATAAACAAACATAGCGCATGCGGCAGCGACCACTTATACTTAATTTTTCAATTCATTGCTAGATGCCTTTTTATTAGATCTAGAGATGCACAGTAAACAAATATTCAGGCAAAACTAAAGTGTTTGTTCTTATTCTAACAAGTAAATAAACCTGTAAAACTGTATAAATAAAATCGATCTTCGATTTTGAAAAAAAGATCGATTCTACCAAAAGATCGTTTGATAAAAATCGATCGATTTTAATCGATCTTTTGGGTAAAAAGATCGATCTTCGATTAAAATCGATTCGAATCGTACATCCCTATTTCGGTGTTAAACTGGCTAAACAGTGGGTTGCTAAAGAAATGTTAGTTAGAAAGGTGCGTTGATACCTGTCATATCTCTGTCATCTCTTATCTCTATCATTTTTTATTACTAAAACTTTATCAAAACTTTTCCAGAATCGAGGATTTAATAGGTGAATTTAGTGAGATAGATAGAGATATACTGATGAAAGTGTACAGTTGGACCAGCTCGTCATGTTTTTCTCTTATGGAATTTCAAAATTGAGTAATGTATAACTGAAGCGGCTAAAATCCCTATTTAATATCGTTCTACTGATTGTGATGTTTTCGGAACGTCGATTTCCTTGAAAATTCGTTCATATACTAATTTATGGTTGCAGAAAACGAATTCATGGTCAGTTTTTAGCTATGGTGAGTGGTTGGTCATTTTCTTGCGGTAATGCGAGACCGCACGGAGACGCGATGCAGACATTCACGGAAAAGTCCGTATTTTCATCCCGGGAAATTATATCACTATAAATTTTAAACAACTTTGTAGACAAAGCTTCAGTCTATAACATATTCAAAGCGCAAACACCAATCTCGATTTCCCCGATTCCGAATTCCCGATATCGATTATCGAATTTATATTTAAAATAAGCCAGCTTGGGTGGTTTTTCAGACATAAAAACGGAGAGTCGTTGAAGGTGGCAACTGCTCGGTTCTTATATACTTATATTCATTAATTCACTTATACTAAATTTTCAATTCATTGCTAGATGGCTTTTTACTAGATCTAGAGATGCACAGTAAACAAATATTCAAGCAAAACTAAACTGTTTGTTCTTATTCTAACAAGTAAAAAAACCTGTAAAACTGTATAAATAAAATCGATCATCGATTTTGAAAAAAAGATAGATTGAAAAGAAAAAAATGTTTTTAATCTTTTATTTGGCATTAATAAATACAAACAACCCTAAATTTTCACCGTTCTACGGTCATCCCCTATTTTTTAATAGGGGTTGTTTTTTAAATTTTTTGTTGCAATCTCCCGAAACGCTTGACCGATTTTGATGAAATTTTATATGTATATTGAGTAGGTCTGAGAATAGGTTGATATCTATTTTTATACCCTTAAGTGATAAGGGTAGCCCACCCAAATTTTTCTTATTTAAAAAAAATATCTTTTTATTTGGCATTAATAAATACAAACAACCCTAAATTTCCACCGCTCTACGGTAATCCCCTATTTTTAATAGGGGTTGTTTTTTTTAATTTTTTGTTACCATCTCCGAAACGGCTTGACCGATTTTGATAAAATTTTGTATGTATATTCAGTAGGTCTGGGAATACGTTATCTATTTTTTATACCCCTAAGTGATAAGAGTGATATTAAATTCTGTGGTATACTAATTTTGTGGTATATAAATTCTGCGCAGGCGTTTCTTATATTACGTAATTGCTTCTTAGTGCTAAATTACGTTACGTAAGGAACGTCTGCACAAAATTCATACTTCTAAAACCGATTTTAATAAATTTTTGTAAATTAGCGGATAACACCAATGGTTTGGATGCTTTTATCTGCAACCTAGGTACTATGTCAGGTTTTAGTGATGTCTCTAAAGGCATTAATGCAAGTGAATCAGGAGTTCCATCATTTGAGACCTATACTGCTGACGAAAAAGAAGATTCTGGATTAAATGAAGATGAAATCTTAATGGAAAGAGAGAGCAGCTCAGAGGAGGAAGAAGAAAATGGTGCCTTAGATGATGAGAATAACAAACGCAAAAGAAAGAAAAATATATTCAGTGACAGTCAAGACTGGGAATATAACGCTAAGAAGAAGAAGCAAGAAGTGGCCTCGTATGGGATGCAAGGTTTGTGGTGCATAAGAACGAAAGAAAGTTAAAAATTAGGTGCTCGTGTAAAGAAGGAAAGTCAAGAAAAGACACGTTTATATGTTATAACATAGGAGAAGAAGATAAGACAAAAGATATTTAAAAAATTCTGTAGTTTCACCCTGGGACGAAAAGAAAATATTTGTCAGTGGAAGAGCGATTGCCTCAAGTGTCAAAAGGGCCAGAAACCGAAAATCGGAAGGGGAGAGCCGAAGAACATGCTCCTATTTTTTTTTTTGGATAACAAAAAGGACAGGGTAAGAGTATGCAAAACGTTGTTTTGCAACACGCTTTGTGTGTCTATAAGAACCATCACTTTCTGGTTAAATAAAAGTCTTTGTTCACCTGAAACCCAAAAATCTAATGCAAAAACTGATGGTATCGATTTTGACAAAGAAAAACATTTAAGAAATAATGCGAAACACAAATCAGTTTGAGATTTTTTTGCCAATTTCGCAAAGCTAGAATCTCATTATTGTAGAAAGTCCTCTTCTAAACTTTACCTAGAGCCCCGCTGGAGAAACAAAACGGAACTCTACGACTTTTACAAAAATGATTGGTTAACAGACAGAAATATTGAACCAGCTGGATTAACCCTTTTTAAATATATTTTTGAAGAATCAAATTTAGCTTTTTTTAGTACCAAAAAAGACGAATGTCTTTTTATTCAAAAATAAAAAAAAACATTCATTCAGTTTGTTATATAGTTGGATACATTTTCTTCAACATAACATTTTTCTAGGTGACTTGGTAATTGATGAAACTGACGCAGAAAGAGTAGAAGAAACTAAAAATCTTGTGACATCAGTGAGTACTATGAAAGGAAGCACTGAAGCTGTATGTGAAAAAAAAACAGAAACTCATTCAGAAGATACAGCGACTTATTGATGGTTCTCATACATTGGAGGAAGTAGAGGCAATTGAGAAAATAATTGCTCCTATCGAGTCAACTCTAGATGCTATTCGAAAAAGTCAGCAATCAAAATATTCTCTACCATCTACTAGTGGATATGCCATTCCGGCAAATAAAAAAATTGAATTGCGGAGGCGTTTGTTCAAAACTTAAAAAACGAAAAGAAAGAATGTTATTTCAGTTCCTTCAACAAATGAATTGGACCCATGCTGGCGATACAACTAATAGTAAAAATTCAAACTGAAATCTGGTGTTACTTTTAGATTTTAGATTGTAATATTTTGCTCATTCTCACATACTGTGAATACCAAACGCAAAAGAAAGAAAAATAGATTGAGTGACAGTCAAGACTGGGAATATAACGCTAACAAGAAGAAGAGGCAAGAAGTGGCCTCGTATGGAAAGGAAGGTTTGTGGTGCATAAGAACGAAAGAAACTTAAAAATTAGGTGCTCGTGTAAAGAAGGAAAGTCAAGAAAAAAACACGTTTAAATGTTATAACATAGGAGAAGAAGAGAGACAAAAGATATTTAAACAATTCTGTAGTTTCACCTGGGAAGAAAAGAAAATATTTGTCAGTGGAAGAGCGATTGCCTCAAGTGTCAAATGGGCCAGAACCGAAAATCTAAAGGAGAGAGCCGAAGAACATGCTCCTATTCATTTTTTTTGATAACAAAGAGGACAAGGTAAGAGTATGCAAAACGTTGTTTTGCAACACGCTTTGTGTGTCTATAGAGAACCATCACTTTCTGGTTAAATAAAAGTCTTTATTCACCTGAAACCCAAAAATCTAATGCAAAAACTAATGGTAACGATTTTGATAAAGAAAAACATTTAAGAAATAATGCGAAAAACAAATCAGTTTGAGATTTTTTTGCCAATTTACTAAAGCTAGAATCTCATTATTGTAGAAAGTCCTCTTCTAAACTTTACCTAGAGCCCCGCTGGAGAAACAAAACGGAACTCTACAACTTTTACAAAAATAATTGGTTAACAGACAGAAATATTGAACCAGCTGGTTTAACCCTTTTTAAATATATTTTTGAAGGATCAAATTTGGCTCTTTTTAGTACCAAAAAAGACGAATGTCTTTTTATTCAAAAATAAAAAAAATATTCATTCAGTTTGTTAGTTGGACACATTTTCTTCAACATAACATTTTTCTAGGTGACTTGGTAATTGATGAAACTGACGCAGAAAGAGTAGAAGAAACTAAAAATCTTGTCACATCAGTGAGTACTATGAAAACAAGCACTGAAGCTGTATGTGAAGAAAAAATAGAAACTCATTCAGAAGATACAGCGACTTATTGATGGTTCTCATACATTGGAGGAAGTAGAGGCAATCGATAAAATAATTGCTCCTATCGAGTCAACTCTAGATGCTATTCGGAAAAGTCAGCAATCAAAATATTCTCTACCATCTACTAGTGGATCTGCCATTCCGGCAAATAAAAAAATTGAATTGCGGAGGCGTTTGTTTAAAACTAAAAAAACGAAAAGAAAGAATGTTATTTCAGTTCCTTCAATATATGAATTGGACTCATGCTGGCGATACAACTAATAAATAAAAATTCAAACTGAAATCTGGATTGGGTGAAATGTGTACACATGTCGCAGTCACACTTTTTTACCTTCATGCTCGCCCAAACACCACAGATGAGCAGGCTGCTTGTACTTCTAAATTATCAACTTGGCCAGTTCCATCATTAAAAACTGTGGATATGGTACCAATAAATCAAATGAACTTAGAGAATACTAGAGAAGTTCAAGCAACTCGAACTTTGGCTCAAAACACTATTTCACCAATCGAACATGAAGAAATGTGTACTCTTTTGCGCAAGCTCCAGGAAGTGACAATAAGTGAGCCATGTAATATGCCAAGGGGTTTAGGAACTTAGTATGATGAGAGTTTTTATAACCAGCCTTATGAAGAGCTGATAGTGGCTTCCCAAGTTATTAGTTTAAATATAACTTCCGAAGAAATTCAATTGATTGAAAAAATACTAAGGAACAATCTAAAAGTCTTCTCTGGTTTAAATATCGAGCAGGGCGAATCACAGCATCAAAGTTCAAATCAGTATGTAGAACTTCATTAGAAAATCCATCCCTAACTGTGTTGGAAGGCATCTGTTATCCAGAGAAAGTCCTCTTTCATTCAAAAGCTATGGATTAAAACACGAAAAAACGGCAATTAAAGCTTATGAGGATAATATAAAGACACAACATGAAAACTTTTCATTAGGTACTTGTGGCCTGATTATTTCTATGGACCATCCTGAATTAAGCGCTTCTCCAAATGGGTTGATATCATGTGATTGTTGTGGGTTAGGGTGTTTAGAAGTTAAGTGTCCATATTTATTGAATAATGATGAAATAACTCTGCAGGATTTTGCAGATAAAAAAATACATGCCTTATATCCTCAGACGGGCAATTAGTCTTAGATAGGCAACATTGTTATTTTTACCAGATTCATGTTTGTTACTAAGCGAAAATTTTGTGATTTTGTTATTTGGTCAAAAAATTATTTATATGCTGAGAGAATAAATTATGATAATTTTTGCTTGGAAAATATATCAAAGGCCTTAAAATTTTATAATTATGTGATAAAACTTTAACTTCTCTCTAGGTATTTTACGGAAAAAGGTGGAATGGCAAAAATGAATTTATGGTGTCTTTGCAAGAAACCAGATGATGGGCGACCCATGTTAATATGTGATAATGATGATTGTTCTAGTCAATGGTTTCATTTTGATTTTGTTAATATATTACTAGTACCAGATACATATTGGTTTTGTCCTAACTGTAGGCAATAATATTTTTTTAACTAGTTGCTTTTACCACCCACCCTCTTCCAAACATTGAACAAACCTTTGTTTCTATTTTTCTCCAAAATATATATCAATATTTATGTTTTGTATTGTAACAGAATTTTGTAATTTAGATCAGTTAAAAAGTAATAGTAAGATCAAATTACATGCATTATTGTGTACCTATATTACAAACTCATGTTGTGAGACATCAAGGTATATTCTCGGGAATCTCAAGTGTATTATCATGACAAATTTTTATATTGTCTTTGTTATGAATATTTTTTTAGTAAAAAAAGCACTGTTGAAAATAAATTATATTTAAAATGAAAAATATGTTTTTTTCTGCTTATAATATATTATTCTATTTCGCCTTTCTTCTGATAGAGCTTGAAGATTTTCTCCTCTATTCTTTAAAACAGCCGGGAATCGAAAAAACGATACTTTATCCCTTTCTCCTCACATCGCGCAGTTAACAACACAACAAAATGAAGGTATTATAACTGATCAAAGTATTATTCAAAATTAACAAAAGTCCCAAAAAATCTCCATAAATTACGAAGTTTACAATCCAAAGCGGGTATTTTAAATGAAGCCAATCGATTCTGCTTGCCTTCCAGCAAATATGGCCGACCTGTCAATGACGTCATTCTAGACATTCTGTTTTTGTTTACTGTTTTAAGTGTTTTTTTAGATTATTTCCGTAAAAATACTAATTTATCTATTCTCCTGCCGTCGCGTCGCTTTGGAACAATAAAGTCACAATAAAGAGTACAATATCAATATTACAGTACAATGAGTGTTATTTGTGCAATTTGTGATTAGTTTTATTCTAATCAATCCAATTTAAATAAACATAGAAAGAAAATACATTATCTAAAGCCCAAGATTGTGTCGTATGATAAATCAAAATATATGTACAAGTTTAAAGGGATGGGATCATAGCCAGTAAAACCAAGTATAGTTTAATACATCTGTTGAGTGAATAATCATAAATTAGTACAAAAGTAATAAGGGGTGTTGACGAAATGCTTACAAAGCATTATTGCATATTTCGCAAAGAGCGATGAACCCCCGAAACTGGGTCTCGTCGATATGCAATATTAGTTACTATGCAAATAATAGAATATTGTTTAATTATTGTTGCGGACCCGTGCCGTGTGACCTCAGCCTTAGGCCTGGCCACTCGCCTATGACTCATACGCCCAGCGATGCCGACGTTCTAAGAACGAATAAGAATTGACTAGACAAATCTGGATTGTCTGTTTCTCTCCTATATAAGCAGACGC